TATAATTATAAATATAACATAATTATAATAAATTATTATATATTACACTTTGTTTTGTTGACAGGTACAGTCTGTAAGACTAACTAAATGTAAAAATACTGAGCCTCTTTAGATAAAAAATGCAACGAATATTTGGCACTTAACTTTGGTATTTACCGAATATTTGACAGTTATATTCTAAATAATCGAATATTCAATAAGTATTAGACACATTTAACCTTCAAACCGTACACTAATGCAAATTTGCATCACGAAAATTTTTAATTTGCGCATGAACAGTTACCGCGGTTTATCCCCACTACGTTAAATATGCTTTTTCATAAAAATTTGAGTGATACCATTGGATTTGTGAGAAAATTATACCTCAGAAAAAGAGATTTTAAAGAAATATCTGTTTTAATCTTCAAAAGAAAGGGACTTGCAATTAAAAATGTTAAATCCCAATTTATCTGTGTACTATTAGTAGATGCTCAAGGGAGGTGTACGGCTTGGAGGTTAATAAAAACAGTGGATACGCGATATTTTCACTTATAATTAGTATAACTCAAGGTTTATTGGCGTCGCATGTTCTCCAACATATTATTATAGTTCTTACTCCAACGCGCTAATTAGAGAGAGTAGGAGCTGACAAAACATGATGAAGTAGGAATGTTAACAAACAGGGTTGACAAAAAACATGTTAAAGAATTTAAAACATGCTTAATTATTCTTTATATGTTTTAAACATGTTTTTTTATAATGTTTAAAGCATTAAAAATATATATATATTTAAGAAAAAACATGTTTTATTATTAAAAAAGTCTTTGTCAATCCTGGTAATGAAGATGAATACTGAAATATTTCAAGTCAAAAGTACCTATTGTTAAAGCCTATTATACAATGTGCTTTTTTCCTCTTTACAACTGTTTTATCGACAATTGAGTTTCTTGTTTCTTTTGAAGTTAATTTTTATCTCGGGTGACATAAAATGAAAAAACAGATAAGAAACAAAAAGATAAGATGTAAAAAATAGTAACAAATTGAAAATAAAAAGCACATTGTAGAATAGGTTTAATAGCTCTGATATAACAAACAGTGACATATGTTTTGATGTGTTCATCTCTGATTCTGACGAGCTTTTAATATATAATTTTTGTAAACAAAAATGAGATACACATATTTTTTATGTGTTTAATTGCACTTTTAAGAGGTGAGAGCTCATAAAAATCAGAGGAAATACTTCTATGCGGTCCTTTGTTAGATTGTGCAATGTAGGTACTCGTTTTTAATAAAATTATTTTCACTGTTTTTTGTGAAAAGAGTACACTATATTTAAAAAAAATTCTATTCTTACGTTAAAATTATTTAGTATTAGGCCGAATACTCAGACAATAATATTTGATGTTTCGGCCGAATAGCCAGAACGCCGACGTTACCTAATATTCGTTGCAATTCTACTTACTTAAATCTTCTATAATTGCTCGAACGATAATGAATTAATAATCGGCGCTTTTGCTTTCCAGGACACTGGCACTTCTACCACTAACAGACTTCCATCATCTTTCACAGTCAACACCTGTTTTGTATCCTTGTTTTTTGATTGCATTTTTTGTACAAGATCTAAGTCCAAGTTTGTTATCTTCTTTAAGTTGTCAGTATCAGTCATGTCGATCGATTGCAGGATATATACTGGTTCCTGAGAGGACGTGGAATCACCTTTTATAACAGAAATTTTTTTTAAAATACAGTTATTTTTTTACACACAGTAATATGTTAAAATCTATTGGAAAATACTTGCTTGTTGGTAACGTAGGGGTACCATTTGAAGGATTGCAATTTGTTTGTTGGAAAGATGACAATGGCGGTGGCGTAGTTTGAGTAAAAGGCAAGATTTGAGTTGGCTTCAAAACTGTTACCTGTACTGATTCATTCTTGACGTCAGAATTATCTGTAACAATCGTATCAATGTCAATAACACAGGCCCATAAAAAAAAAGTATCGTCGTGCTGGACTGGAGACCCAGCTATTCTTATTTATTTTGAGTCGCCGAATACGAATCTGACATTTAAATAGAACCATCTAGGATAAATTTTGATAAATTTAGATTCATATTCAGCAACTCAAAATACATAAGAATAGCTGGGTCTCCATTCCAGTACAGGGTACTTTTTTTTGTGAACCTGTATAATTATAGAAAACTTGGAACAATAGCTGCTTTCCATTTTCACAAGTAATATTAACTTTAAAATTATGTAAATATCTTATATTCAAAATGACATCACTACTTGTTTTGATGACAAAGTGATCTAATGATAATACAGGTTATTAAACCTCATTTTTAATATAAGTAATTAATAAGACTTAGTAAAATACATGGTGAGCTTATGTAGATTATAAGTAAACATTGAATCTCATTTATTAGAATGAAAAATAATGTACATTCAACCGAGTTATGATGTCATAAATGAGATAAGATAATTATTTGAATTTTGATATAAATAGAAAACAACTAATGATACTGCAATATTTCATTTTTATTTAATTCAGTGATACTCAACCCGTTTCATTCTCCTTGTTTCCCAAGCCATTTGCCTTGATACAATTATGTTTTGTAATCTCAAGCATTGTGCTCCCACAGTTATCGCAAGATAGGGATTCCTTGGTATGATTCCTCAAGTGATATACCATGAATGAATCGATACCTGTAGTGTATTTACACTTATTGCATTGCAGCAAAGATTTCAATGGTATTTTCTTATTTCCTGAATTTGAGTCATTCTTATTCGGTTTATTGCTGCAGGCGATCTCTTTCACTCCAGATTTTGTGATCTGCGGTGGTTGACATGGCTTTGGTTTGTCACTACTACTACGAAGCTCTCCTTCGTTCAGAGAATATTTTTGTTCTAAAAAGCGCAAAATATGATTCCGCGTATCACGCATTTCAATTTCCAATCTATCTAAAGTGTTAACGAGGATACCACAACTGCGGCAGATCACATCTTCCTCGGTTATTACAACCATATATCTGTAACAAAAAATCGAGTTTATTTAACATCTTGTCGGTACGGGAGATGCAGGCCAGTTAATTGACGTAGATTCATCACCTTTCGCCAACTAATTCTCCGAGTTTCTCGATTACTCTGGCCTGTGAGTTCTGCGTTCTGCAAGTGGCCAAAGCATAAAAGCGACCCTTGACATCGGCGTCGCAGACAAAACACCGTGTCTGATTCTTCGCTTCTTCGTTGTTATCGACATAACTTTCCTTGTCCATCTCGAAAATGTAGGCGAAACTTATGAATTCGCGTGATTGTCAAAATTGTCAAAACTGCAGTCTGGATTAATCTGGAATTCAATATCGAACAACGAGTGAACGTCGTTAACAATATTGATGAATGTGTCCAAACATGTGATACCGGCCACCGCAAGCTACAAGATGCTCAACTGTTTCAGTTTCAGATGATTTCAGATTAGGGTTAAGTTAGGTTACGCACAGGCGCAGTGTGTATTGCTGATTAGGCGAGGAAACATAAATCTACTGAATGAACATGGATGAACTGGATAAAATCAAACCGGATACCGAATTCTTTCATCCAAATCAATTTGTATTTATGATGATATTTTTTGTAAACTATTACATATATTTATTTGCATTATAATATAATTATTGTTTTTTTTTGTAAGTTTTTCTTGAAATATTATCTCCATTAGATGCAAAAAATAAAAATACAAAAAATGAGGAATCAAAACGTTATGATAATAAAAATCTACTGGAAAGAAAATGTTTCTTTTATATATTTTACTTATTTTAACAGAAAATACTATGCTTGTTATTGAAAGTACGTAGTTTTACATTTAATTTTTTTTAAATGAAAATACTGTGACAAGTGAAAATATTTTCTAATTATTTTTCGAAGACGAGAAATATGATTTTTCTGTCAGTTATTAAATGCTTCAAAAAAAATATATTAAATAGATATAATTTGGATAAAACTTAAAAATAAATTTAATATACATATATTTAATTTATTTATTATTAATTTAAGAAATAATTCTAATTTATTTCATTTGCATTAAATCAAATCAGATAACAATTAAATAAGCGAATACTATTTTTGATATTATTTATTGCGTCTTTCAATTTTTTTTATATATTTATGCATAATATTATGCTAATATGTATATTATCGATAGAAGCTATTTAAAAACTCATAAAATGTTATTTCTAACACAGAGAAAAAGCAATATCTTGTTAGAATTTATTGATATATTCTTTAATTTATAAATGTTGGTCAATAATAATTATAAATATAACTACAGAATGACGATAGACATAATTGATGAAGCGTATCATAATGATATAATTAGTTTAAACATAGAAATTGATAAAACACGATATATATATATACAATTCTTATTTTTTATGCTTTTCTTGCTTAAGCACTATAAAACCACTTAAAACAATGGACTTGAAGCGATGGAAATCATTTGCGTCATATATTTACTTATACTGAAGGAGTTTTAGCTGAAAGTTCATATCGCAAGTAATTTTAAAGAAATATTTAAAGACATATTTTAAAGACATAGTTTATAACAATTTATATCGTATTTTAATTTTAATACTTCTAATAGTTATTCATTTTAATCTTATTTTAATATTATATGAATATGATAAAAACACATTTAATTTTATTTTCTTTCTTTCGAAAATTATGTTTTTAAGACATTTTCTCTCTTTAGTCCCAAATTATAAATCAAAATATACAGTATCTTTAAAATTTGTAGATTCATATGGGAAAGGAAATACAATTTTAACGAGAAAAAATTATAATAAAAGTCTGCCCTTGAAGAAATATTTAAAAATTCATTCAACTCTGATCAGTGATCAGGGCATTTGAATAATCGGTCGTTGGATTCTTTATTTTTCATATACTTAAAAAAAAGTGAGTATTTTAAAATATTTTTAAATAAAAAATATTTTTTATTTAAAATGTCATGTGATTTTAGAATTTATATTAATTTATGGTGTAGAGCACCGACAAAAAGTTCATGCACTAAATTTTTTTCTGCTAACGTCACAATATTGTAGATTTCTATACAACAGTGAATAGTAGGAAATCTAACGAACACTCGCAATCGTTAGTGATCAAAATTATACTGTGTTCATTACAATTCATGAACAATTGTGATTCATTAGACTTCCTAAGTTCTTACTACACGCCACACTACCATAGAAACCTACGTTGTTATACGTTAGCAGAAGAAAATTCAGTACATGAATTTTTTACTTATATCACGTACAAGTTAAAATTCGATATCTTGAAAAGCATCATATAATATTATAGTTATTAAAACATTATGAAAAGAACGATTTTGCTAAAGTATTTAAAAATTTAGATAGATACAGACTTAAAAATAATTTTTTTAGACTATCAAAATAATTATATAGGAAATTCAACATGATAAGCAATACTGCAAAGAGTTTTGACATTTTAGCAACCAATTTGAGCGTCCTGTATAATTTATTTTATATTAAATTATTTTGCTAGTTCAACAAAATTATTTTCAAATCTGTATCTATATATTCAAATTTATATGACCACTTTAGCAAAACCACTCTTCCTTTATACATCTATCTTAATGATGATATCTGTAAATACATAAAAAGATATCTAATTATTTATTTGCTGTTCGTAAAATTAATTCTATACACACACACACACACACACACACACACACACATATATATACACACACAAATATTTTGCATCAAAAATTCTTTAGAAAAGAATTATCATTTCGAGACTTAATTATAGTCCTGATATGTTTATTCGACTTTCTTTTTCAAAGTATCCTTCAATGTAATAATGAATTGTTATTATATCGCAAAAGAGTGATAACGAAAAGGAAAAATGGAAAATATCGTGTCGCATTTGGTTGCCGCAATTCGCGCGCGTATGACCGATCTCTTCGTGTCGTACGAGCAGCCTAAATATAGAGTGACACTGTGGCATTAATTTGTTGAATGGAAAGATAGGTGCGTTCATGCTCGAGGGGGACCGAGCATCATTGTGGGGTAGATCGCGACGGGGTACGGCAGAAATCTCGGCATCCGTGCGAGCCCTACCTCAAAATCGTGTTCAGTTAAACGTTCGGTTTAAAAAAAAGGGGTAACTTCATTCCCCTTCTCAAAAGTTCCGCATTCTATATTGAAGATCTCGGAAGTGATCTCGCACGTGGAGGAAGCAGAATATTTAGCAGGATGCCGAGATAAGGACCAATGCAAGAACATTGACGGTGCAGGAAGACTGCATAATTTGGATCGTGATAACTGCGTATGTATCGCTTGCGATTTCCGCGCAAAGCTAAAATACGTCGATCATTCTTTCGGCAACGGAGTCCTTTTGCTTCTTTGAAGTTACGTGGGAAAAATATCTGAAACAAAATATAGACCTGTCCATCATATTGCGCGCGCTTTATCTATAATCAAAGTCATTGTTAATTGGTTTGAAATTTCTTTTGAAATTTAGCTTTTGATATAACGATCGTTTTGCACGACTTTATGATTCCTAATTAAATAAGAAAGACGGGATCTTTTCGTCATACGTTGTCGTCATCAGACGTGCGATATGGGAAGTATTTATTACGACACCGCAGTGCACAGGACACCATGAATTAAATAATAAAATAGGACAAGGTTGTGACGATGAGAACGCATTCGGTGAACGCTATGATTCCCGGAAGTGGCTCGTTATTCATCGTCCGTCATCATCAAGACCCTTGTCTACTATATGTCATACCTTGTATGCGCACCTCGCGCTCGTGCGCGCGACGACGACGATGACCGCGGGTATTATCATGCGAGAACGCAAATTTCATCTATTATTTATATTAGGGACTTATCGTCATCCCCTACGTACTCTCCTCGAACCTCTTGTAACACGTCCGGTCGCTCTTAAAGGGCTTCCTGTTTGTTAAGGTCGGCGCAACTAGATAGGACGAGGATCACGTCACAAAAACTTCCTATACATAGACGACAATTATCAATCAGCCCTTCGTTCCTCCCTGTCTCTTTCCACTTCACTGTCATTTCAACGGCCATCCCGTTCCAGCGTTTTAATCAGAAAGAAGAGCACAAGTTACACACAGTTGGCGAGCCGATCTCCACTCACGATCGGCCTGTTAGGATGAGGTGAGTTCTGTAATTTCGATCTCATCCCGCGATTTCGTCGCCGCAACGAATAATGCCTTCAAGGGGATCGACCGGCCGTCCCAAGGTAGACAGATCCACTAGTCCTCTGCCGAGGAAACCGGTAGCGAGTCCCGTGAATCCAGTGCAGGAGCTGAAGGCCCTCTTTGAGCCCACCAGCAACCGAGCTCCTTCCAATGGCGAGAAAGAGTCGGACTTTCGATTTGAAGCGATACAATGCCTACGACAGTCCTCGATCATCGTCAAGAGGCCCAAGGACCTACCAGAACGAGGGAACTGGAGCAGCAAGGTGAGGAGATTGACATCGGTCAATCTGCACAATGTCTAGATGAAACCTGGATTTAACTTATGGATACAACTTGCGTACTTTTCTCTTTTAAAGATCGAATTCATTTTATCCGTCGTGGGACTGGCTATAGGTTTGGGAAATCTATGGCGATTTCCATACCTTTGTTATAAAAATGGCGGCGGTGCTTTTATGGTGCCCTACTTCATCGCGCTCGCACTGGCCGGTATACCTATGTTCCTGATGGAACTGTCCTTAGGTCAGATGCTGACGATAGGTGGTCTAGGTGTTTTTAAAATAGCACCTATTTTCAAAGGTGATTTTTAGAGAGCACTCTCGCAGGATTTTAGTTTCGTTAAAATATTTTGAAAGGATGACAGTGACAATGTTGATCTTCATACAGGCATTGGATACGCAACCTGCGTGCTTTCCTGTTGGACCAATGTGTATTACATCATCATTCTCGCTTGGGCGCTCTTCTACTTTTTGGTCTCCTTACGTGCTGGTGAGTGACTTTATTTTACACGGCACAGTAATTTTCTGCAAGCGGAGTTATTTTTTGTTTTTTTTTCGGGAGAGGGGGAGGCTGTAGAAAATCAGAAATTATTACATTTATTTAATATATAAACTTTGCACAGACGTACCATGGAGAACCTGCGACAACTCGTGGAATACGCGCTACTGCATCACGCCTGATGAACGTCTGAACGTGTCATGCTGGCAGGATGACTACTGGCCAAATAATGTCATATGTGCCACATCCCTCGGGAATTTGAGTCACGGGCTATTGAAGGATCCAGTGAAGGAATTTTGGGAGTAAGTTAGACTGGTCCAGTAGACACCTTACTTAATCAATTACAATGTAATCAAAAAGTATCTGCGCCTTTTGTTACAAAAAGGAGGCGTACCTTAATGATATCCTCAGGAATCGAAGACGTAGGTAGTATAAGATGGGAACTAGCCGGTACTCTTGCGGTCGTGTGGGTCATGTGTTACTTTTGCATCTGGAAAGGCGTTAAATGGACCGGCAAGGTAAAGCGAGCTTATGATAAATCTTGGCCACTTTCGGACGTAGCGTATGAATTACACGATGTAATACAGGTTGTCTATTTCACGGCGCTCTTCCCGTATGCCTTGCTGGCGGTGCTGCTCGTGCGAGGTTTGACGCTTCCCGGCGCTTCGGAAGGTTTGAAATATTACGCTACACCGAATCTCTCGAAACTTGGCGATCCTGAGGTAAAACCAACACAACATTGATTTTTTCTTTAGTTGTACTAGAATATAGATATTACAATTATTGACATGATTATTGTGTGTACAGGTATGGATAGACGCGGTGACACAGATATTCTTCACTTACGCTCTCGGCCTAGGCGCGTTGGTAGCTCTAGGCAGTTACAACAAATTTAATAATAATGTTTACAAGTAAGAATCTTCTATCTTTCGTGGATTATTATTTTTTATCCTTTTTATTTAATTTTATTATTTTTGTTACATTTTATTTGCTTAATTTTACTTTATTATTTCTATTTTTAATCTTCACGTTATTTTATTATTTTTGTTCAATTTTCTTTTCATATTTATATCCTATATTATTCTACCTGAATTCTAATGACTTTTGCTTGTTTTTTTATTATACTGCAAAGTTTATTTTAGCACTTGAGAGGATGTCATTTCAAAGTGCAAAAATCATTTGTATGACGGATTATACATATACAGTCTTTTTGATACATTATAGAGATGCTCTCATTGTATGTGGAATCAATACTTGTACCAGCCTGCTTAGCGGAGTAGTCATATTTTCCGTGGTCGGTTTTATGGCCCATGAGCAACAGAAACCAGTGGCCGATGTAGCTGCTTCTGGTAATTATCCTTTCTTTTAATCTGTTTTGAATTATAACACTAATAATTTTGTTGTATTCATTATTTTGATCAGGACCCGGTTTGGCCTTCTTAGTTTATCCCTCGGCGGTATTGCAACTACCCGGGGCGTCAATTTGGTCCAGTCTATTCTTCTTCATGCTTCTTCTAATAGGGCTAGATAGTCAGGTAACGTACATTCATCGAATCCAAGGATCGACTTCTGTTATTCTAGAACTATCACGGATTAATGTTAATGTTAAAAATAAGTCGCATTCCAGTTCTGTACCATGGAAGGCTTCATCACCGCCGCCGTGGATGAATGGCCGCGAACACTCAGAAAACGAAAGGAATTGTTCATTGCAATTGTATGTCTGATCTCGTATCTAATCGGGCTTCTATGCGTCACAGAAGTGAGTAGATTAAATATTTTCCAAATATCTAAAAAATATTTAATAAGGGTGTATAGGTAGCTTATTTTTTTAGCTTTGTATTTTTTGACAAGAGAAGGTTAATCAGATTTTTCTTAGTACTAATCAGAATTAATTTTGTATCTAGGGCGGAATGTACGTGTTTCAACTCTTGGACACGTATGCCGTAAGCGGATTTTGCTTACTCTTCTTGATGTTCTTCGAGTGCATCTCCGTCTCATGGGCATTCGGGGTGGACCGATTTTATGATGGAATACGAGACATGATAGGCTACTATCCTTGTTTCTGGTGGAAGATATGCTGGACATTTACCACACCTGCTATTTGCGTGGTAAAATCTTGTTCAATTTGTCCAGATTATACGTGACTTGAACTAATATGCTATTTTTGATTTATTATATTATGTATTTCTCTCTTATGCATAGGGTGTTTTCATTTTTAATATCATTAAATTCGTCCCTGTGAAATACCTCACGTACGAATTTCCGTGGTGGAGCCATTTGTTGGGATGGTTCGCGGGTCTTTCCTCGATGTTATGCATTCCAGGTTACATGATTTATATCTGGTGCGTTACATCCGGAACTACCTCAGAGGTATATAATATCGTAGAAAAGAATTACATACGTAATATAATTCAATTATCATAATATAATACAAAAAAAATAATAACTTATTTCTTTTCAGAAATATCGGAAATTGATAAAAATAGAAGATAATGTTGCTGCCTTGCGGAAGAAACTCAATCCAATCAAAGCCGCTGCCATCGACGCGGAGTTTGAATTATAAAATCGCATTCATGCCTTTTTCAATCACATAGATTATTTGATGTATGCGATGAACTATAATATGCTAATGGGAAAGATTTGAGCGCGCAATTAAATGTTTGCGATTCAGAATACATCAAAGATTTCACTAGAATAGCATCAAGACGAGGTATCATGCGTTTATTCATTTTGAGCGCAACCTTATCTCGAGAAAAACGACGTTTATTAATTAAACTAATCTATTATATATCTCTATAATCTGCTTTCAACATACCGTATGAAAAGAAGATGAAAATAATAAAAAACTTTGCGATTCGTTCGAATATGTTTTGATTTATATTCCTCTTATGCCACAATTATACATCCTACGCATTAACGAGATGCTAAAATTCTGTTCAAAAAACAGCTTTTACTTTAACTGATATAAAAATCAAATATTTTATTAATTATTATATTATTCTTTTACACTTAAATGCTAAAATATATATGACTCAAAACAATGCCCAATAGGCATCTCGATTATATTTCTGCATTTTTACGTTATAATAAATTATACTTCAAATAATTCCAGATGTACTGCTCGTTGTGTGCAGCTGACAGTAAAGATTTTAGTTCTTTATTGTAACCAGCTCAACTCATATGGCAACTTCAGCTCTGTGAATCTTTATCCTGCATCTGTTTAATGCGTATGAGAAGTTGCTCCTTCCATTGTTCTTCCGAGATTGCATTTGCCCATTGCGGAATACAAGCTTCGGGAATGGTAATGGACGCCATTACAGATTTTACTTCTTTGATCTTAGTTGCATCTAGATCAATATCAGAACGATTGTGCGGACACGACCAGACTTCCAATACCTCTGAAGAACAACTCTAAAATATTATAGTGTCTTTTTTAATTGCAAATTTATTGTGTTTATTTTTACATATTATTGTCACATTATTATCATGCTTTTAAGGCAGAACATAGATATCAATCTAAATAAAATATGCTGAATCTTTATATTTATAGACTGTAATTGATTTATTTGCTCAAAAAAAACTCTTTTGGATACTATCCGAGTGTTCGTAAATAGTACAACTAATAAAACAAAATCATTCTGATCTGAACATTTTCATAGTAATTTTCTTAATTTAAAAATGACTTACTTGCTGGGTTTCAGTTGCCGGAACAGATGATGCTTGATTAGATTCACCAAATCCAGTTAGCCATTCGTCATTCTGGAATAAAAAAGGAGTGATTTTAGTTATTCAAGAAATTAAATAACTTCTAGAAGTCCTTCGCATTAGAGAAAAAAGATATTGCTGCTTTATACCTCTTCTTCACCTAATATGGGTTCAGCATCGGTAGAAACTTGGGATAATGGTAAATATCCTGCCATACCCATATCTTCATCGTCGCTGTCTTCCTCATCATTCCCCGCTCTCGCATCTAGGACTGTATTGGGAACTGTCAGATTATCTTGAATAGGTTCTTGTGTAGGCTCAGGCGACATGATGCATCAATAGATTCAGTTAACTCTTTAACAAAAATTGAAATAAATATTAACATAAATATCAAAAATATTAATATCAAACATAAGTATTATCATTTTAACATGTTTGTTATCATATATGTAATTCGATTCTCATCAATATTGACATGTAAATGGATAATATTGACATGTAAATTGATGTCAATATGTAATAATTTTATATGCCAAAAAACAAATAAAATTTAGTGTACTATTATATTATCATATAACTTAGAGAAACAAAATCGTAAAAAATAAACAATAAATAAATAATTCCGACAACATGACTCGAGTAAATTTCAAAACAATAGAGCTGGAAAGTCTAACGAATTAACGAACATGTTGATTAGTGTTGATGACATTCTTAATAATAAGAACGACAAACACAAATAAAAACAACTCATCAATAAATCGAACAGAAATAATTTAACACAATTTATCAATAAATCGAACAGGAATAATTCAATGGTTGAATTATATATGTACCATTTTCCAAGGCTTGCAATTGCAAATAAATTCGAGATTGCCACGTAATGCCGATTTTGACAGTTCACCGTCGATCGTGCTCATAAATGCGCCCATATGCGTACGCCATTTTGAGAAAATTGCGTGAGGCACAATCTGTCGAAAAACGTCCCAAGGTTGTAGCGAAACTTGCTTGAATCGTAGTCGGTATCGTAGATTACGTACATATAATTTATATAAATTTATTATACGAATGATTTTTTAAGAGGCATAGAAGGTCCTTTATCCAAAAAAGAGAAAAAAAAAGCATTAACGATTAATGCTAAAAATGCATAACCTTTAATTAATAACCTTTAGATAAATAAATGAGCAACGCACAGTGATATGGCATGGGTTTATCATATGTATACGCAGCATGTTTTTGTCTAAAAACAATTAATATTCTAGAAAATAAGGTACGCATTTCAAATATCTACACGTATCATTAAAAAATCTTTTGCGTAAAACAATTTTTATTGCAGAATTTTTTTAAAGTGAATTGGGTTTCCGTAAAGTCAGACTGTCTCCATACGTTTATCTGTTCCGATTTCGTTGCGATTCATTGAATTTCTCATAGTTAATTTTTTTCAGATGGAAACGCATCGAACGGAATTAGATTCATGGCTGTGACGAGGAGGCGATTGTCAAAAATCCGCGGTGGCAAACCGTGTCAACGAATTAAAGCTGTACGCGGGCATTAGGCGCTCTTATCGTACTCCCGAGAGCTGGTGGAGGAGCAAAAAGAAAGCGCGCGGGATGAATGACGGGCTCGACGTTAAGCCGACCAAGTTAAAGTAGTAATCCGGTGCATCTCGTAGAGACTGGTATGTTGCGCAGCACCCCGTTCCGCGACATGTCACAGGTCCAGCTTCTCGTCCTTTCAACCTTCCTACTCGCCTGGTCAGGTAATCGGACGTACCGGTTCGAATCTCGCACCGATACGCACAAATCGCTGCCCTCCCCTCTCTATTTCCATGAATTTTATTCGCGACGCGGACCGATTAATCCCAACCGATTAATTTCTCAGTTGTTAATTCCAGCGTACGCGTATCCGGAGGGCACATTGCTTAATGACAACGCGCGAGCGTCGATCGTCGAGACGGTGTTAGAACGCGAACCAGCAACCTTCAAATTGTACACCAGGTGCGTACAATCCCTTTTAATTGTTGCAAACAATTTGCGATGAGATATGAAGGTAGAATATAATGTTCTTGCATCTCAGTGTGATACAAGAGATAATAGCTGTATTTATGTGAAAAGTCCAGTCGATTGGAAGAGGAAACAAAAGAGAATCGTTCCCGAGGTTGTACAGAAGACATCCAGACATCCACGCTTCATTCTCAGACATGCATCAATCAAGCCTTAAACTGAAATTATATTATAAGCTGGTATTTATTTTAAGACTGTTCTTATTTTAAGACTGTCTTGAATAATATCTTAAGATGCTAATTAATACAATTTTCTGTATTATTCATAGTCTGTTCTTCTTTTAAGACCATCTTAAGTAATGTCTTAAGATGATAATACAATCGTTTGATTGGCTTATGATATCTTAAATCTGTACTTAAGACAGTCTCAAATATAAGAGTCGAATATCAGTATGAATATCAGTCTTCTTGATTGATTCATAACATCTTAAGATTGTACTTAATTAAGACAATCTTGAATATAAGAATAGAGTACAAATACCAGTCATATACTGCAGGTTTTTATCGTTTTCACTATCCACATTTTCATCGTCATACCGAATTCCCTTGGGCATATTTCCCAAATAATTATTTTATATAATTGCAATTGATCCAGAGGCTATCTTGACGTCGATCGGGAATCAATCACATGCCGACGCGGCTAATTTCTATGCACCATGGCACCGCTATCGCCGGCTTGCCCCGTGGAGGATGCGTCAATTTTTTAATGATACGTGCAATCAGCGGGCATTCTATTCTCAGCGCTGACGTTCGATCGACTATCGAGTGTTGAGGCGCCGCGCCGCGTTGACGCCTTAATATCGCGCCTTCGGATTGACTCCCGCTCTCCTTTTTTTTCCTTTTTTTTTATTTCTGTCTTTCCGGCAAACAAGCCGATTGAGAAAGGCTTCTTGACATTATTATAACTTTTTCTTTTGTTACCTCGAAGAGTAAGAAATCGGAGAAATTTGCACGTTCGATGAGAATCTCTGTTTGGACTTAAATTTAATATTTATCATGCATCAATTTCGTTGCAATGTTTTTCTCACAATATTGCTTCGCACAGGGAAAACCCATTTGGCGAGGAGCAATTATTCCTGAACAATACAGAAGTGCTGTACGCGTCGCACTTTAACGAGAGCCGGCCGACCAAGTTCATCGTTCATGGATTCAGCGATACCGGAAACGAGGGCTGGATACGTGATCTAATAGACGGTGGGTGGAATTAGGTATTACGTCATCGCGTATTCGCATTCCTTAATACCGCAGCTACTACTTTCGCAAACAATCAGGGTCAGCCTATTTCGGTAAACACGGAATCGAAGTCGTTGTCGGTTCAAGGGTCAATGCGATAATGGCTTAATTAATCATTCTGCAAGTTTTTCTGCTCGCTCTCTCCCGCCAGAAACTCTTCGCGGAAGAGTTCCAAGGTTTTTTTTTTATATCCCGCTACTTTTTAATCTGACAATCCCATATTCTCTAAAACGTTGCTTCCAAGTAAGAAAAAAACATGTTTTTTTTTTTTAAGATAGAGATATATAACATTTAATTGCATTTTTAGCGTATCTGCTTTATCAGGATGTGAACGTGATAGTCGTCGGTTGGGGAATCTTGGCATCCGACACCTATCCGGTGGCGGCTAAGAACACGCGTCTAGTTGGTGAGTACTTAGGTCAATTCTTGGATTTTTTGAATCGGGATTCGAACCTGGAGTATAAGGATGTGCACATCAGTGGTCATAGCCTGGGCTCTTATGTGGCGGGCTTTGCCGGAGCTTATCACGACGGACGTATTGGGAGAATAACAGGTAAATCAATGAATAAGTAACCCTTAGGCTCAGTTTTACAACTCACTGTTTTAACTCTTAACCGAAGTTCAACTTATTCCTCTTCTCTTTCCAATTCTAGCATTAGAAAGAGATGAAGAATAAATTAAACCTTGGTTAAGAGTTAACCATGATCCAATAAGGAATGACAATGGAATCGATGTCGATTCCATTGTCATTTCTCACTGGGAAGTTGTGAAACTGAGTTGTGAGCCTCAGTCTTCATAGAATAATGCAAATTCGAGTTTGACGATGTTAATAAAAAGTATCATACTTTCTAATGGAATTATTAATACAATAGTCTTTTTCCTCAAAGGATTCTTGTTACAATAGAAAAAGTTTTAAAAAAACGGATAAATATTAAATTAAATAATGAAATTACGCGAATTAAAGTTGTAATATTTATTTGGGGTGTATTACTGATAAGACAGCATTGGGAAATAGACAATACAGTTATAATACTTGTTATCGATGTCGATGAATTACGAGAGCGAAAATATTGGCTATATGTCGCGAGCGTAATTCCGTGATTTTCCCGAGAAGGACTAGATCCTGCGAGTCCTCTGTTCGAGACTATCTCTGGTGTCGTCGATCCAGAATACCGGTTGGATCCAACCGACGCTCAATTCGTTGATGTCATTCATACCAGCGGACCAGTATTTGGATTCTTGGCGCCGTTGGGACACGCTGATTTTTATCCTAATAACGGCAAGATCCCGCAACCTGGATGTTCTTTCGTACCAACGATAAGTGAGTATTGCAAGGTATTCATTATTATCATATATCCTTGTGCTGTGGAGAATATTGAAAGGATGACTCTCGAGCGGTATCTTAATGTCTCTGTTTGTATTTCAGCTTATTGCAGCCATTCCAGAGCGCATCAGCTTATGACCGAGAGCATCGGCAGTACGGTAGGCTTCAAGGCGAAGATGTGCGAGAGTTGGGAAAAATACAAGGAGCGACTCTGCGATTACAATCCGGTTGTTATGATGGGCGAATACGCCTCTACCTCGTAAGATATTATTATTTATATTTTTTTAAATTCGCGAAAACTGATTACAATTCATCACAATTTGTCTTCTTTTCGTTCAGGTTACGTGGCAAATTTTATCTATCGACCAACGACGCTCCTCCTTTTGCGCTACAGTAAACGATATGAATATCGATCTTGACGAATTTTTGTTAGAATTGAGAATTTGCTAATTAACTCACGGTTACAGCTCGAGCGGTAATAGCGCAATAATCTGTACTAGTCATTGATAAGTTACTTTATTTATAATGCGCTTCGATTCTGAATGCGTACATCGAACGTACATCGTATCAGAATGTATCCTTAATATACGTAATGCTACATTAGAAAGAGTACAAATTATATTAATTGAAACTATGATTTTAAATTAATATTCCTTTCATAATAATATCATCACGTTTTTTCCATCTTATTACATTTCCTATGATTCTCTTGAAATTCCAGAATTTTTTCCTCTCGATTTCTCAGAAATGTGAAAATCTTGAAGCAATATCGCGAAAGAGAAACACGGAGAAATAAATACAATATAGAATAATAATAAAATAATAACTAGAAGTTCCAGGAAGATAGATAAATATGTAAGTCGGTCGAAGGAATTAATATTTCAAATCGTAAAAATGCATGAAATGAAATATTCATGAGAGACTTGCGCTTTGAGTAGTTGACCATGCGACGGACGCAGGAATGACTGCTTTATTCTCCTTCAAACTCCTTCAAATAGGTATAATCTCGGCATAATCCGTATAATTTACGAAATGCGTCATGGAAGTTGGAAGTTGCTGTTTTTGTCGCGTCTGCTACTTGTTTCTTACGCAAACGACAATATTATGGCCCGAGATTACTTTTTATATAAAGACGTGTCCAACGTAGTAGGGTTTTCTTGCGGTGGTCTCGAAAGTGCGTAACAATATTTAAATGATAGAAATATAATTCATATATATTTATTATATAACAAACCTTTCTCGACTTGTAACAGGCAACGTGAAATTCGCGAGGACATTCAACGAAGTCTTTGTACTTACATCGATATGCAATCTCGGATCCGTGAATGGATCGTCGATTCTTAGGAAGCTTTTACAGAACAACTATCGTAATTTAGGCGTTTACGTGGACGCGCGATGCGAAGGTCACAATTATACTGTAATATATTATGAGGTAAAAGATACTATATATTCCAAAAAATTCTTAATTCTATATTATTTCATATATTAACTGCGTAAAGTCCGGAATTAAGAATGTGTAATGTGTAATATGTAAGAATAAAAGAGATAATGTGAAAATGTAATCACGGGATTTTTACAAAAAAATTCTGAATTATTATATTGTATATTAATTACGTAAAATATTTGGAATTAAGAATGCAAAATTTAATTTACAAATAAAATAATAATGTATGTGAAAATGTAACCAGAGGAGGGGAAGAACAGACAAGGGTCAAGAAAGATAACAAAGCCGTAGATGTTGAAGCAGTAATGGCAAAGTTCTTGGTATTAATCTCTTTCTTATTTAAGGCTACGAAATCTTTCTTATTCGACGAGACGCACAAATGGCTTATTTTGGGACGAAAGTTGGATGATACCTTGAGCTTATTAAATGATGATTCCTTCGGCGTGGTGACCGATATTACGATTGCCATAGAGACCGATGCCGGTTTTGATTTATACGACGTGTATAATCCTTGCAAAGCACGCGGTGGCTCCTTGAATATAACCGTCTTGGGTTACTGGACCGAAAAATCTGGTGTGGTGATCAGACTGAAGCAATCAAAGTACGAGAGAAGATTTAACTTACATGGTATGAAGCTCAGAGTGGGAGTCTTAGTAAGTAACTGATTAGCTTATAACGGGCATGGCAATTGGCAATATGATTTATTAACCGTAAATTCTCGTAGCTGCCGCGTAAGTTTTACAATTTGTCTACGGAAGCTATCGTGCTGAACCAAGACATGAAGGCGAAATACGGCCGGTCCCAATTCTTGTACACGATCTTGCTGCACATGGCTGATCTTTTTAACTTCACGTAAGAGTCTTTTGAAATGGACGAACATTTTTTCGAGTATACTTTTGCATTTCTTTCGCTTATTTCTTTTTTTATGGAAATATTTTTAAATTATTATAAAATTTTTTTTAAATATTTTATATTTTTATTTCAAAGTATGGAAATCGTGGAAGTTGATCCAAGAAAGCGGCAGGACAATTCTGCGCCGATGTTTGTTGCTTTTCAAAAAAAGATTGTGGATATCTCGGCCAGTCCAATAGTGATGAAAGCTGATAGATTACGGTCGGGAGATATTATCGGCCCAGTATGGCCAATGCGGTATGTAATTTTGTGATACACAATAAGGAATTATTTTATCTTGTTGCTTGATGTATCAATGAGTTGTTTCTACGCAGATCATGCTTTTTATTTCGGACGATAGCCTCGGCGAACATGAAGACAAAACAATTTTTGAAGCCGTTAAATATCAAGGTTTGGTATGTTGTATTTTGTACGATAATAATTTCCGCGTCCATCCTGGTAATACTGATCAGACAGGAAGGCATTCACAGTGTGTCAGAGGGTTACAATATTTGTATTCTTCTTACAATAGGCGCTTTTTCCCAACAAGGTACTCGCCAATTTCTTTTCATCATCTTCGTTAATTTTCTGTTAAGTTTTGAGTAAAATAATTAAATAATGCATAGGAAATCAAGAGCTATCGCTAAATTAAGCACTTTCACAGGTTCCGTATTTGTTCCGGTGCATTATGCGGGTCGCATAGCATTTATACACATTATGCTCTTCAGCGTGTTAATCCTGAACTATTATTCGGCGAGTATTGTGTCCGATCGATTAAAGAATATGGGTGTGAAGATGAACGACTCGTTGATCAACTTGGCGGACAGTCAATTGAAAGTGGCAGCCGAACCAACGCCATATATTCGTTCTTTTTTACAAGTAGATGCTTTTAAATATCAAAGTCCAATTATAACATAATCCAAATAGTAAGATTAATAATAAGATTAATTTGATAAGAAAGGAGTTCAATAATTATAATAAAAAAATCTTATATTCTAGTAAACACTAATAGTAACATCAATATTCTAATTTTATTTTCAATACAAATGAAATATGACGTGTTATATGTAACGTTGATGTTATATAATATTATTGTTAGTTGATTATAGAGATATTATTTTATTCAAAATATAAAACTCCTTTTCTTATTACATTGGTGCATCTCTTATTTCATCTTTTTGTTGAAAGACACCGGAGAAGGAGATACGGTATTTTAACGCGAAACGATGGGACAAACTAGCGGAATCCAAACGTTATCTGCCACTAGCGGAGGGCCTGAATCGCGTGGCTAAAGGCGGCCTGGCTTATCACACGTCAATCGAGTCCGCGTATCCGTATATTGAGCGGCATTTCCATCCACGAATGATATGCGAGCTAACGGAGGTTCATCTCTTTCACGCGATGCTCGCTCTTTGGGGCAGGCACAGGAGTCCGTTCACTCCGCTATTTAGAATCGGGTAGGAGAATACGCAAGTGATTCTATATAAGTAGACGCCTACACATGTGCCTTACTCTTTAAATTTTAATTCTCTTCAAGCAATTATTATTTATATGTTATTTATGTTTATGTTTATTATTATAATATATTATATTAATTATAATCATTTATATGTTTATTATTATAATATTTATCATAATGTTTATTATTATAGTTTGATCAAGATGTATGACGTGGGCATACGCAGGCGTCAACTGAAATTCTGGTCAGCGAGAAAACCGTTTTGTCCGAAAAATATGCTAATCGCGGAACCGCTGTCAATCTATGAAGCTGTACCCGTTTTTATGTTTATTGGCATCGTCGCCGTGTTGTCTCTCATCATCTGCATAACAGAGAATCTTGTCTACTGGTTATGGCCTCGGTAACGATCAGTGTTAAAAAAAATTAATGAGTAAAAAAAAAGAATAATATACTGAAGTATTTTGTAAATTTTCCATTATGTCATTTGATCTCTTCTTTTTTAGATTATCAATGTCTACTACCGATGGACAGAGGAAAGTGTGTTTTCCGAAATTCACGAAAAACGCACCTACTTCGCCGGGTGAAATATTCTCGCGCGAATAACTAGATAATATATTATTTCTATATGCCATTTTGATGTTTGTTCAATTAGATTTTATCGCAGATATTGTAGCTTGTGTGTTTATTCATTAGATGTACGCACAAATAATAAATCACTACCGTGTGTGTGATTTGCTGTAGTTCGATAATGACACATTTTATTTAGTTTTCGTTCCTCGATAGAATGTCATAGCATTGAACGTAAATAAACGATAAGACGTATGATTTCAACATATCATGTTTAATGTTATATAGATACTGAAAAATTCAAAGCATGTTACAACCGATCCGTGCAAATCTAATCGAATTACACTCTATTTTTGTTAGCTCTTTCGTTTATTCGTATTCGTGTGTATAGACTCGACGTTACATAAAGTCCGCAGAACTTTTACTTTTTACACGACAATATGAATAATGCGAAATTAAAGCACAGTGGAGCGTACGTGATATTCTTTGCTTTACTGCGATTCACTTGTAATGTCAACGCGGGAGATAGTGACTTTATTCGCGACTATTTCGTGAACAAGGCAGTGCGAAATGTTGTGGGATTCTCCTGTGGAGATTTCACAAGTAGGTGAAATTTTCAAAGTGTTAGTGAATTATTCAACAAAAGCATAAATGTGTACTAAAGATTTTTCATATCTCATTTTTTGTATTGCAGGTGATTTTCATTTCGTAAAGTCATTAAGCAGAGCTGGTATATTCACGATCATTCGGAAACATGATAAGAATATCAACATACGACGATTCTTGAGTACTGATGCCTGGAGTTTGGGAGTTGTCGTGGATTTGCGTTGTCGCAACGAAAGCGCCGTGACCATCTTTGCTGAGGTAAAAGAATTTATAGAGTGAATCTTTAACCCTTCGTGGTTACTTGAGGTTCAGGGAACCCCAAAATGACGTGAGGTTTTATATTTTTAAAGATTTTTTTTAAAACGGGATTTAAATTGTCATTTATCCAAAGTTTACAATTTTTTGTACCTTCAACCGCAGTTCTTTAGATGTTTAGGTGTTGTTCTTTAGACATCAGCCTTTGCGATTTTTTAAAATATATTAAAATTAAAAACTTTGAACAGCCACTGCATTTCCATATTCTACAATGTTTAAAGTATGTTCAATAATTTTTGTGATTTTTAAGAACAAAAGCTGTACATATGGCAATCAGTTAAAATGCTGGAGTCATTTTGTACCCTGTATAATCAACATAAAATTCTCAGGAGATGTAACCACGAAAAGT